TCGCCAATATATGATAATAGGCTGTAGCAAAAATATTTATGGAGATATTTAAAAAAATCTTTTGCAAAACTTTAAACGCGTTTTCCGGCTAAACTAGAAGAGATAGAGCGATTTTAAGTGTTTTTTGTGATCACGGGGAACCCACAGAGTCCGCCAATATATGATAATAGGCTGTAGCAAAAATATTTTTGGAGATATTTAAAAAAATCTTTTGCAAAATTTTAAACGCCTTTTCTGACTAAACTAGAAGAGATAGAGCGATTTTAAGTGTTTTTTTGTGATCACGGGGAATCCACAGAGTCCGCCAATATATGATAATAGGCTGTAGCAAAAATATTTATGGAGATATTTAAAAAAATCTTTTGCAAAACTTTAAACGCGTTTTCCGGCTAAACTAGAAGAGATAGAGCGATTTTAAGTGTTTTTTGTGATCACGGGGAACCCACAGAGTCCGCCAATTCATGATAATAGGCTGTAGCAAAAATATTTATGGAGATATTTAAAAAAATCTTTTGCAAAACTTTAAACGCGTTTTCCGGCTAAACTAGAAGAGATAGAGCGATTTTAAGTGTTTTTTGTGATCACGGGGAACCCACAGAGTCCGCCAATATATGATAATAGGCTGTAGCAAAAATATTTTTGGAGATATTTAAAAAAAATCTTTTGCAAAACTTTAAACGCGTTTTCCGGCTAAACTAGAAGAGATAGAGCGATTTTAAGTGTTTTTTGTGATCACGGGGAACCCACAGATTCCGCCAATATATGATAATAGGCTGTAGCAAAAATATTTTTGGAGATATTTAAAAAAATTTTTTGCGGAACTTTAAATGCGTTTTCCGGCTAAACTAGAAGAGATAGAGCGATTTTAAGTGTTTTTTTGTGATCACGGGGAGCCCACAGAGTCCGCCAATATATGATAATAAGCTGTAGCAAAAACATTTATGGAGATATTTAAAAAAATCTTTTGCAAAACTTTAAACGCGTTTTCCAGCTAAACTAGAAGAGATAGAGCGATTTTAAGTGTTTTTTGTGATCACGGGGAGCCCACAGAGTCCGCCAATATATGATAATAGGCTGTAGCAAAAATATTTTTGGAGATATTTAAAAAAATCTTTTGCGGAACTTGAAATGCGTTTTCCGGCTAAACTAGAAGAGATAGAGCGATTTTAAGTGTTTTTTGTGATCACCGGGAACCCACAGAGTCCGCCAATATATGATAATAGGCTGTAGCAAAAATATTTTTGGAGATATTTAAAAAAAATCTTTTGCAAAACTTTAAACGCGTTTTCCGGCTAAACTAGAAGAGATAGAGCGATTTTAAGTGTTTTTTGTGATCACGGGGAACCCACAGAGTTCGCCAATATATGATAATAGGCTGTAGCAAAAATATTTTTGGAGATATTTAAAATAAATCGTTTGCAAAACTTTAAACGCGTTTTCCGGCTAAACTAGAAGAGATAGAGCGATTTTAAGTGTTTTTTGTGATCACGGGGAGCCCACAGATTCCGCCAATATATGATAATAGGCTGTAGCAAAAATATTTTTGGAGATATTTAAAAAAATCTTTTGCAAAACTTTAAACGCGTTTTCCGGCTAAACTAGAAGAGATAGAGCGATTTTAAGTGTTTTTTGTGATCACGGGGAACCCACAGAGTCCGCCAATATATGATAATAGGCTGTAGCAAAAATATTTATGGAGATATTTAAAAAAATCTTTTGCAAAACTTTAAACGCGTTTTCCGGCTAAACTAGAAGAGATAGAGCGATTTTAAGTGTTTTTTGTGATCACGGGGAGCCCACAGAGTCCGCCAATATATGATAATAGGCTGTAGCAAAAATATTTTTGGAGATATTTAAAAAAATCTTTTGCAAAACTTTAAACGCGTTTTCCGGCTAAACTAGAAGAGATAGAGCGATTTTAAGTGTTTTTTGTGATCACGGGGAACCCACAGAGTCCGCCAATATATGATAATAGGCTGTAGCAAAAATATTTATGGAGATATTTAAAAAAATCTTTTGCAAAACTTTAAACGCGTTTTCCGGCTAAACTAGAAGAGATAGAGCGATTTTAAGTGTTTTTTGTGATCACGGGGAACCCACAGAGTCCGCCAATATATGATAATAGGCTGTAGCAAAAATATTTATGGAGATATTTAAAAAAATCTTTTGCAAAACTTTAAACGCGTTTTCCGGCTAAACTAGAAGAGATAGAGCGAATTTAAGTGTTTTTTGTCATCACGGGGAACCCACAGAGTCCGCCAATATATGATAATAGGCTGTAGCAAAAATATTTTTGGAGATATTTAAAAAAATCTTTTGCAAAACTTTAAACGCGTTTTCCGGCTAAACTAGAAGAGATAGAGCGATTTTAAGTGTTTTTTGTGATCACGGGGAACCCACAGAGTCCGCCAATATATGATAAAAGGCTGTAGCAAAAATATTTATGGAGATATTTAAAAAAATCTTTTGCAAAACTTTAAACGCGTTTTCCGGCTAAACTAGAAGAAATAGAGCGATTTTAAGTGTTTTTTGTGATCACTGGGAATCCACAGATTCCGCCAATATATGATAATAGGCTGTAGCAAAAATATTTTTGGAGATATTTAAAAAAATATTTTACAAAACTTTAAACGCGTTTTCTGGCTAAACTAGAAGAGATAGAGCGATTTTAAGTGTTTTTTGTGATCACGGGGAACCCACAGAGTCCGCCAATATATGATAATAGGCTGTAGCAAAAATATTTATGGAGATATTTAAAAAAATCTTTTGCAAAACTTTAAACGCGTTTTCCGGCTAAACTAGAAGAAATAGAGCGAATTTAAGTGTTTTTTGTCATCACGGGGAACCCACAGAGTCCGCCAATATATGATAATAGGCTGTAGCAAAAATATTTTTGGAGATATTTAAAAAAATCTTTTGCAAAACTTTAAACGCGTTTCCCGGCTAAACTAGAAGAGATAGAGCGATTTTAAGTGTTTTTTGTGATCACGAGGAACCCACAGAGTCCGCCAATATATGATAATAGGCTGTAGCAAAAATATTTATGGAGATATTTAAAAAAATCTTTTGCAAAACTTTAAATGCGTTTTCCGGCTAAACTAGAAGAAATAGAGCGATTTTAAGTGTTTTTTGTGATCACTGGGAGTCCACAGATTGCGCCAATATATGATAATAGGCTGTAGCAAAAATATTTTTGGAGATATTTAAAAAAATCTTTTGCAAAACTTTAAACGCGTTTTCCGGCTAAACTAGAAGAAATAGAGCGATTTTAAGTGTTTTTTGTGATCACTGGGAGTCCACAGATTCCGCCAATATATGATAATAGGCTGTAGCAAAAATATTTTTGGAGATATTTAAAAAAATATTTTACAAAACTTTAAACGCGTTTTCCGGCTAAACTAGAAGAGATAGAGCGATTTTAAGTGTTTTTTGTGATCACGGGGAACCCATAGAGTCCGCCAATATATGATAATAGGCTGTAGCAAAAATATTTATGGAGATATTTAAAAAAATCTTTTGCAAAACTTTAAACGCGTTTTCCGGCTAAACTAGAAGAAATAGAGCGAATTTAAGTGTTTTTTGTCATCACGGGGAACCCACAGAGTCCGCCAATATATGATAATAGGCTGTAGCAAAAATATTTTTGGAGATATTTAAAAAAATCTTTTGCAAAACTTTAAACGCGTTTTCCGGCTAAACTAGAAGAAATAGAGCGATTTTAAGTGTTTTTTGTGATCACTGGGAATCCACAGATTCCGCCAATATATTATAATAGGCTGTAGCAAAAATATTTTTGGAGATATTTAAAAAAATATTTTACAAAACTTTAAACGCGTTTTCTGGCTAAACTAGAAGAGATAGAGCGATTTTAAGTGTTTTTTGTGATCACGGGGAACCCACAGAGTCCGCCAATATATGATAATAGGCTGTAGCAAAAATATTTATGGAGATATTTAAAAAAATCTTTTGCAAAACTTTAAACGCGTTTTCCGGCTAAACTAGAAGAAATAGAGCGAATTTAAGTGTTTTTTGTCATCACGGGGAACCCACAGAGTCCGCCAATATATGATAATAGGCTGTAGCAAAAATATTTTTGGAGATATTTAAAAAAATCTTTTGCAAAACTTTAAACGCGTTTCCCGGCTAAACTAGAAGAGATAGAGCGATTTTAAGTGTTTTTTGTGATCACGGGGAACCCACAGAGTCCGCCAATATATGATAATAGGCTGTAGCAAAAATATTTATGGAGATATTTGAAAAAATCTTTTGCAAAACTTTAAATGCGTTTTCCGGCTAAACTAGAAGAAATAGAGCGATTTTAAGTGTTTTTTGTGATCACTGGGAGTCCACAGATTCCGCCAATATATGATAATAGGCTGTAGCAAAAATATTTATGGAGATATTTAAAAAAATCTTTTGCAAAACTTTAAACGCGTTTTCCGGCTAAGCTAGAAGAAATAGAGCGATTTTAAGTGTTTTTTGTGATCACTGGGAGTCCACAGATTCCGACAATATACGATAATAGGCTGTATCAAAAATATTTTTGGAGATATTTAAAAAAATATTTTACAAAACTTTAAACGCGTTTTCTGGCTAAACTAGAAGAGATAGAGCGATTTTAAGTGTTTTTTGTGATCACTGGGAGTCCACAGATTCCGCCAATATATGTACCCCATTTACAGGCAGCTACGAAAAATTACCACCAACCGATCAATGATCACTCTCGGTGCCCTCCGAAGCATAATAGGCCACACCCCATCCGCTCCCGGAAACTTGTAGGGGCCAAAAGACTTAATAGCCCACTGTATCTTCTCCCCCGTAAAAATTTCTTCACCTAAAAATCGTACAGTCTCCGTTCCTCTCCTCGGAACCCCCTTGGCTTTTCCTCTTCGTTTTTCCTCGAGAATTGATCCCGGAAAGTGAACCTCTTTTAACAAAACCAGGTTTCAGGGGCTCCCCCGATAGTAGTTTCCTTAATTTTGCAACCTCATTGGTATTTTCTAATGACATGCAATAGCTCCTCCAAGACCTCCGTACCTTTGACCTTTTTTATTGTGCAGTTCATGTACTGGCCCAGTCATGTCAGATTCCAGGGCCGCCGAGCACCCATCCCAATTTGCCCTTCGGTGATTCCTAAATGGCGTCCTCACCTCCGGTTGCATATTTATCCTAAAACGAATCCAGCAATGGTTCGAAGGGGAAGACTCCTCCGATACCATCCAGTTACTGACCATTAAGGTCCCTAAATTAGTAGCCAAAGTAAGGTATATCACCTTACTCCTATTCCTAACGACGAAAGTACGGTCGCAACCCCTATTACATACACAAAGGTTAGTACCACTAAGAAAATCTACTAAGGACTCACCTCTCTGATTAACATCCGAGCTTCCCCATAGAGTGTGGTGTGCATTCGCGTCACACCCAGCCAGTACATCGTGTCTCCACATCCTGATAGCCTCTCTGAATTTTCCCGGCGGCGGCTCTTCCTCGCTATCGTAGGGCATATAGCATGAAGTCAGAAGAAGAGGCAAATCTTTCTTCTTCTTCTCCCACCTCACCAAAGTTGTATCGCCGTCACAAAAGTTATCGAAAAGAAAAAGTTTTAGTTCTTTCCTAGCGAAAATACAAGATATCTGTCTACTTACTTCGATTTTGTAATACAGGACATAGTCCTTAAGCCTCACGCCCCATATTCTCCCCTTTCCAACCAACCACGGCTCCTGAATGAGCGCAATGTGGATGCCATTAGCGCTCATGTACCCCACAAGATTGCCAGTAGCGGCCCTACTAATATGAAAATTGACTTGTATTACCTCCATCTCCCGAACTGCCCGCCCCAACAATCCTAAGCATCACCTTGGATAAGCTGAACCTTATCAATCCGCCATTTTTCTCTATATAGGGCATCGATTTCCTATTTATGTTCGGAAGGAAGTGTTGTCCAGTTTCCTTCCGAGGCTCCCCCATAACCACACTCCAGTCTTCAGCCCCAAGCTCCCGATTCTGTGCAATCAGTAGCCTGAGGACCATCTCCGCTGCAACGTAGGGTTTGGGTACCCACAGCCATGCCTTCGGCCTCCGGTACCTACCAACATCGGACCTAGGGACAGCCTGTAATTTCGTCCCCTGCCAGATGGCGTCAAGCTTCGGCAGCGTATCCTCCAAGAACTTTTTGGAAGCCATGTTGGAGCACGCTACCACCTTGTAGCCTTCATCCCATCCAGCTCCATCGAAGATGATTTCGTCTGCTGAGCCAGATGAAAACACCTCCCGTAGCTCATCCTGGATCCTTTCTTCCACCCTTTACCATTTCTCATGATCCAACCGGCCTTCCGGGTCGCTCTTATCCACGATGGCAACGTGCGTCACATCCCCATTCTGCGAAAGCTGTGCTTTTCGCTTTCTTGGAGGTCCTCGGGAGGATACCACCGTCGGAACGTACCCTCTTCTTATCGAAGTGGTCCCTCCTAACCTCGGCATTGCCCTTGGTTGGGTGAGCCGCCTTCCCCTCGGTTTTCGCTACAGCTCCAGCGGGTTCCGTAGCCCTGTTGGGCGCCCCGATCAAACCGGAGCAGCCACCGCAGGCCTCATTCTCTCCGGAATCTCATGGGTTTCGCAACCTCTCTGATCTCCTTCGAGCCCAGGATCGCCTTCGCTTTCTCCATCTGCTCTATCTCCCAAGGACTAAGCTCCTCCGGGGTTTTGAGCGATAGCCGCTGCAGCCTCCTCCTAACACTGCGTAGTTTGTTACGCGCGTCCTATGCCTGGTTCTTTGACTCCTGACCCATAAACGGATTGATCCTGCTGAAGACAACTTCACTGACGGTCCTGGTGCTAATACCACCTTCTCCCGACAGCGAAACAGAGTCAGTCTCACTGATGATGGTTATGTCACCACCATCCTCCGTCCCAGAGCTCGAGTAAGACTTCCTGATGACCCCTTGTGAGTTGAATTCTGAGCTTATCTCAAAATCCTCCTCACACAGGATCATCGTGGATGACGAAGATTGCGATAACGCCCGCATCTCTTCGTCGGTATTCCATTCAGTAGCATTACGTTCTTCAAGGCCTGTTTCCACCTTGAAGTACGGTCCCACTGGCGACTTAGCCCCGCCTGGGGCCAAGCCTTCGGTGCCCGTCGTAGGTCCGGATGACACTTGTGCTGATATCCCAGCACGCTCTTTAACGCTCCTTTCAGACATCCTTCATAATAGTTGGGTTGTGGGATTCTCTTGGTTTTTCAAACCTCCCCCTCGACCTTATCGGCATGGTTGCACCTGCCAGACACTGCAAAAATATGCTGTATCCGCCGACATCGCTCTTGGGTTCTTAAGTCCTACATAAGCCTCCCCACCACGACAAGGTGGAGTCCCCCGGGGAAGGGGTAAGCGACCAAGCAACCACCCAAGGTCTTTCCATCCAATCAGCCTTACTTCTTTTTTATTGAAAGCAATGGAAAAAGTGATTGATAAATTTATACGGGACGATACACTGTGAATCAATCCCTTGCATGAGTCTCAGTACGCCTATCAGTCGGGAAGGTCTACTGTACTCGCGTTGCAGAGTCTGGTGGGGGTCTTTAAAAACTCACTGGGAGTGCGGGAGGTGGCAGTTGGCTCCTTCCTTGCTATAAAGGGAACTTTCGACAACACCCCATATCATGTCATCTGTGAGTCGTTGCACAAATGAAGGATTGATGCGACGACGAGCAGATGGGTTAATCGCATGCTACAGGATAGGATTAATAATTCTACCATAGCTGACGATAAACTCTTCATCTCCGCTGCAAAAGGGTGTCCGCAGGGCTGGGTTCTTTCGCCACTCTTATGGTCCATTGTAGTGGATGATCTAATCGCTGCTCTCAGGGGCTCCGGGGCACGTGTCTGGGGATACGCCGACGATGTGGCCTTCGTCGTATGGGGAAAATTTGAGAGCACTATTTTTGAATTTCTACAGCAAAATTTACGTGTTTTGGAAAGGTGGTGCGAAGGCTTTGGCTTAAATATAAATCCAAGCAAGAGCACTTTTTTTCGCCTTCACAAGACGCAGAAGCAGGGATAGATTTACGAGCATAATTCTGTTTGGTGAACGTATTAGTTACTCTAGGGAGGTGAAGTATCTGGGGGTAACCCTGGATGATCGTCTCTCCTGGAATATATGGATAGAGTTATCGAGAGAGCTGCGGCGGCTTTGTGGATGTGTAGGAGCTTCATCGGGGGGACCGGAGGAATCAGTCCCAGGATAGCACTGTGGCTATATATGGTCCTTGCTAGGTGGGTGTGCGGGCCAAGCTGGAAAAGCTACAGAGGCTGGCTTATCGGGTGTATACGGTGTCCGTCCGGACACGCGTATATATGCAACCATTGACCCGTATTGCACGGTGTTCCAAGCCGAAATACATGCAATAGAGATCTGTCTGAGAATCAATTTAGAAAGGGGGTATAGAAACCGCACTGCCGTCACTGGTGGGACACGAAAGGGTGCCGTCTTGCGAAGGTGTTTCTTTCGGCGTGCTCCAGCGGATTCACCGCAGAGTTGCCGGGAATGAGCAGGAGCCGGGTTCGCACTATTGCGAATTTCTTCACGGGGCACTACCCAGTGAAGTACCTCCTGCATAGTCTGGGGAAGTCGGGCTCCCCCCTGTGCAGATTTTGTGGGGATGGCGATGAGACCGCCATGCACATTCTCTGCGACTGTCCGGAACTGGCTGTACGGCGCCGCAATTGTCTTGGACATGCGTCCCTAAGTGTTCGGGAACTATTGTTCAACTCCCTTAGGGGTATCTCCGGCTTTGCCAAGGTGGATCTAATCCTGAATCGCTCTTCGCATTACTTCAGATTGGACCGTTCTGTTTTCTTTCGTTATGAAACCTATCTTCCTTTTTAATTCTCCTATTTTTGATTTTACGCATTCCTAAATTATGTCGCTTCTACCTGGTCTGCTTCCTTCAGATTCATTATTTCAATGGCTGCTTCTAAGACTCGCCGTTCCGTTTCTGTAATGTTGCATTCGAAAAAAGTATGGAAGACGGTGTCTTCGCTACATTGCAGTGCCTGCATTCAGAGCTCCTCAACCTCCCCATCCTGTGTAGATATACCCGAAAATATCCATGACCAGACAAAAACTGCGTGATATAAAAATTAACCAACCACCCGCCCACCCGCCGAACTCAGATATCAATCTAGCTATCCATCTACCTCTGTCGTTGTTGCTCCAGCATTCCTTCATACCTCCATCGTTTGTGCTCCCGCCTTCGCTGTTGTTTCTGCTTTGGTGATGTTTTGATTTCTTGTGTAGATTATCCTTCTTTCTAGCATTGGTCAATCAATCGGTACCACGCTCGCAATTACCAAGACCTCCGGCTCCGAAACTGTGAGATTAGAGCACGAGACCCGTAAAGCTCCTCTATTTATTCTTTGTTGTGTTCGTCTGCCCACGCCCTCGCCTCATACATCATTGCGAACTGGATAACAGACACGTAAATACGCCTCATAAAAGATGCCAGACCATCAATGTTCGCCATTAATCTGTTTAGTTGTTTCGTTACTGTTGCGGCCCTATCTGCCGCCTGTTGGATATGCTGCAGGAGCCCAATCTGGTATCCAAGTTTATTTTGCAAATATTTAACAGCCTCCTTTGTTTGAATAATTTGTGTGCCAGCCTGAAATTATATGTTGGTTGGTATTCTTTTCCTGGTAATGACTACTATCTCCGTTTTAGCCTTTGCCATCTCCAATCCTCATTCACTCATCCACGTGTACTTTCCCTTATAAAAGTATTAAATTTTAACTTAATACACAAAACAGTTTTATTCTTACGATTTTCCAAACATTATACAACTAAATTTCTTGTAAATTCTCAGAAATTTCAATACTTAACGAATTTGACTTAAACAAATTTAGCTATACATATATTATACCTATTATGCAATTACTACCAATAACCCATATATGTTTACTCTACAATCATACTTCTACCTTGTTTATATGTTTGTATATGCCCAACTATTCCTATGTATGTACACAACACTAATGCTCAATAATTGTTGGCAACAAAGGAAAAACAAACGTGTTTACTCATTAAGTAAAAGAAGAAGAGAAAACTTTCATAAAAAAATATTTTAATAATAAAGTAATTGACATGCGATTAAACACTTTGGGATTAAAGATTAAAATAGCGAATCAGCGATTAAAATTATATTAAAGAATTCTCTTTTCCGCTGGTATTTTTGATATACGAATTTCTTTTTATCTATTGTACTGTTATATTGGTACATCCATTGGAACTTACTTATTATATTTAATATAACATAATATTAGAAAATATCACAAATTCCTTTTGAAGTTGATTAGAACAGAATTTCTTATCATTTATATAACAATAATTTTATATCATTTTTTTGATGTTATACTGATCTGTTATAATCGCCATCTAATATAATATGCAAATTACATAAAAATTATCATAATCAGGAGAAAATCACTTGTGATTTAAAAAATTATAATTATTTTCCAATATTAAAAAAAAATACTTACTTACAGAATTGCTTACAGATTAAGAGTTACTTTATACGTCATCTTATATGCTCGCTTAAAGTATTTATATAAGAATTACTTTATACTTTATGTAATCAATATAGTCTAGACGAAATCATAAATTATTCATATATATATATATATATATATATATATAGATAATAATTATTATTAAAATAATATTCGTTTTAAGAAAAAAAAAATTACGAAAGAATTTTTTAACATAATTTTTTACCAGAATGTAAAGATGTTATCGGCTTTATAATACAAGTAATTATCATAAT